AGAACAGGAGCACAAGACCAAGGACCCCAAGGAGAAGGTGAATGAGTGGCTCGTGTCCCCAAGCGTTTCCCAGATTTTCATAACCTCAGCTCAGGACATTTCCTAGGGAAATCTCTGCTTTATTAGTAAGTGAAGACCCTGCCTCTTTGTTGCTGCTTCCCTGGGGAAGATTAACATCAACAGAGATGGCATGGTCTCCCCATGCTCATCCAGTGGTGGGGTGTTAGTACACACAGACTGACTTGTATATCTTGGTCTAGGATACAGGCTCCATCTGAAGTACTGTTTGTTTGAACACACACAACACCCCCTCTTTTTATCAGCCTGTGTTACTAGCCTGTCACCTGGTGAGATCCTTTGTCCTCTCTGCTAAAGCTTATTTGCTTGTAGACAAAGAAGAGAGTCTTGCAGGTGGAGTAAAGTGACCTTGAGCCAAATTTACCATTTAGAGTCAATTATGTTTTCAGAGGAAGAGGTGTAGGGATCTGGTTATTCTCTCCTCCACTCAGGAATTCTTTCTCTTTATGGACATACTTGGCACTTCTGTGGATGGTCTTATAAACCTCATCTTTAGATCTCTTCATGCAAATGAAGTGTTATGCTAGAATCAAAAAATGCTGTCTTGTGAGTAGAGAAATGGATCAGAGGTTAAGAGCACTTACTGTACTTGAAGAGAACCTGAGCAGATCTCAGATTGTACACAGTAACTCTAGCTCCAGGGGAATCTGATGCCCTCCTCTGGCCTCCATGTGCAATGCACACAGATGCTGTGCTTATATACATGCAGGGTAAAACACTCAAAACCAAAAAAAGTTTGTTTCTTTTTCTCAAAGCAGGGTGAAGTGACATATGCCTTTATCCCTGCTTAGGAGACTGAGGCAGGCAGATCTCTGTGAATTCATGGCCAGCCTGGTCTACATGGAAAGTTTCAGGACAGCCTGGGCTACATAAGAGCCTGTCTCAAGAAAGAAAAGTGATCACCCTGGCTTCTTTCTCTCCAGAGTACAAGCTCTGAAACGACCATGGAGGAGGAGATGGGGCTGGTCGGGGCCACTGCTGATGACACAGAGGCAGAGCTAATCCGCGGCATCTGTGAGAAGGAGCTGCTAGACGGTAAGAAGCACTGTTGTGTGCCTTTCTCCCCACTTGTTCCATCTGCCCCAACCCGGAGCTCTTCTTCCAACAGGCAGTCAGGTGCTAGCTGCCTTTGTTCCGCTGCTGCTTAAAGTCTGCAACAACCCTGGCCTCTACAGCAACCCAGACCTCTGTGCGGCTGCTTCGCTGGCCCTTGGCAAGTTCTGCATGATCAGGTAGCCCCGTTGGTCTCAGCTCTAGGAAGATGAGATGACACAGCTCTCCTGCTTCCCTGATGATTTTCTCTCTTTGCCCTCAGTGCCCCGTTCTGTGACTCCCAGCTTCGTCTTCTGTTCACCATGCTTGAAAAGTCTTCACTCCCCACTGTCCGCTCTAATCTCATGGTTGCCACTGGGGATCTGGCTATCCGCTTCCCCAACCTGGTGGATCCCTGGACTCCTCATCTGTACGCCCGGTAAGAGATCCCTCAGACACCTTGAGAGTTCACTCTGCAGTCCATTACTGCAGCGAGCCACAGCTCTTCCCCTGACTCATGGCAGAGTTTAGTATCTGCTGGCTGTTCACCTTGTACGAACGAGCTCCAAGTGGACACTGGGAGCTGAAGTAGCCTTCTGAAATCTGCCTACAAGCCTTCCATTGTCCCTGACTCCAGTCTTCAAATCAGAATAGCCTTCGAGCTGCTTCCAGAACGGCATACTGTAGAACAATAGATCCTTACATCGGGCCTTCATGTGGGCCTTAAGGTATAAAGGAGTTCTTGATCTCTGACTAGAGCTTTTATTCCTAGTCTCCGAGACCCAGCTCAGCAAGTGCGGAGGACAGCGGGGCTGGTGATGACGCACCTGATCCTGAAGGACATGGTGAAAGTGAAGGGGCAGGTGAGCGAGATGGCGGTGCTGCTCATCGACCCTGTGCCTCACATCGCTGCTCTGGCCAAGAATTTCTTCAATGAGCTCTCCCACAAGGTGACAGAAGCAGCTTGGAGCTTTCTGCAGAGGAAGTGGGTGGGTCGCACTTCCCGCCCCCATCTCATCTCTTTGGTCTCTTCTACAGGACAACGCAATCTATAATCTCCTCCCTGATATCATCAGTCGCCTTTCAGACCCAGAGGGTGGGGTGGAGGAGGAGCCCTTCCACACCATCATGAAGTATGGCTTTCTACATAAACTTACAGGGATGTAGTGTGGTATGCGGGGGGATGCAGCACACAGACTGGTTAGGAACCAGACATGCTTTTTATCCCAGCTCTGGTTGGTTGGTTGGTTGTTGGCTATGATAGGCTAAGAGTGAACAAGAATGAACCCAGGGCCTTGTGTACGCTAGACAAGCACTCTTGCCACTGTTTTCAGCCCTAAGTGTCCATTTTAGCTGTACCTTCTCCAAAACAGCTTGGCCCATTTGCCTGTTTCCCTCTCTGAGAGTGCTAGTACTTGCTTCACAGTTCTCTAGGCTCCCAAATGGGTATGACTCCCAGGTTGTCGACACATAGCAGGAGTCACCGGATAGCAGCTGTTCTTATCTGCATTCTCAGTAAATGGAAGGGGACAAGAGGAATGGTGGGAGGCCTTGGCCACGAGCATTCTTCTAAAGCAAGGACAGAAAAGGTGGGGTGGGGTGGATTCTGTGTAGTGGTTGAGAACTTTGCTGGCTAGTCACACACTCCCTCCCACCCCCTCTCAGGCAGCTCCTTTCCTACATCACCAAGGACAAACAGACCGAGAGCCTGGTGGAGAAACTGTGTCAGAGGTTCCGCACAGCCCGGTATGCTGCCGTTTCGGGAGGTCTCTGTGCCTTAGAGGGGCTCTTCAGAGGGACCCAGGGAGACTGACGCGGGAGGACATGCGAACCTCACGTTGTCCATTCCTTGTGCAGAACTGAGCGGCAGTACCGGGATCTGGCCTACTGTTTGTCCCAGCTGCCCCTCACAGAGCGAGGCCTCCACAAGATGCTGGACAACTTTGACTGCTTTGGGGATAAGCTGTTAGATGACTCTGTCTTCACTGCTTTTTTGACAGTCGTGGGTAAACTGCGTCGGTGGGCCAAGCCTGAGGGCAAGGTGAGTGGCATAGGGTCACTGGCCCTACTGGGTAAACACAGTCTACTCTCCTGTGTGCTGTGGGACTCGTACTTCCTGCCTCACTAGCCTCACTACAACCAAGGTGACTTGAGGCCAGATCTCTCTGTCCAATTCCTGGTCCTTTCTCCCGCTCCCGTCCCTTTTTAAAAGGTCATTTTTTTTAAAGACTTTTATTTTCATTTTTTGTGTATTGGTGTTTTGCCTATATATGTGTGTGTGTGCGTCTGTGTGTGTCTGTGTGAAGGTGCCAGATCCCTGGAACTTGAGTTAAGGAAAGTTGTGAGCTGTCGTGTTGGTGCTGGGAACTGAATCCAGGTATTCTGCAGGAGCAGCAAGTGCCATCTCTCCAGCCCCCAGGAAAAGCCAATTTCTACTTGAGACATTGTCTTTCTGTGTAGCTCTAGCTGACTTAGAATTTGATATGTAGACCAGGCTGGCCTCAAATTCATAGAGATTCCCCTGCCTCTGCCTCCACATGCTTGGCACTAGACTTCTTTTTTAGAGCGGTTTCATGTTTAAAGAAAAACTGAGTAAGTAGAGTTCCTGTTTGCTTCTGTTCCAGTCCACGTACGTCCTCTACCCATCAGCTCCTTGTCCTCAGTGCTGTGGTCTTACAGTCTCCACTAACCTGCATGAGTGGCTATGATTGACAGATGAGTACCCAAGGGCCACAGTGTACACTGACACTGGCTTCCCTGAATACAGTGACGTGTCACTACAGGGTCATACTAGACATTCACTGCCCTCCACACCTCACTCCTGTGGTGCTCTCACCATATACTATATAAACAGATGGAGGTGCATGATAGATATAGGTCACTTAGAATAAACATTTCAAGTCTTTCTGTTTCTTTCACGGCTGTTTTTAAACAGGGAGACAATATCTCCAGCCCTGTTTTTAACTTAATTTTCCTCTAGTCTACAATAGATGAATTTGAGCAGAAGCTTCGGGCCTGTCACACCAGAGGCATGGATGGAGTCGAGGAGCTTGAAGCTGGCCAAGAAGGCAGCCAGAGAGCCCTGTCTGCCAAGAAACCCTCTGCCGGTAGGAGAGGCAAGCCCACACGGGGCTTCCCACAAGCAGTCTCCACCATCTTTTATGTTTTTCCTTTGTGGTTTGTTTTTGTTTTTTGAAATCCCGTCTCCCTTCCACCTCTAGTCTCAAGGCAACGGCCTCTGGCTTCTGTAGATTCCAACAATGACTTCGTCACGCCCAAGCCTCGACGCACCAACCGTCCTCGACCAAACACTCAGCAACGGAAGTCCAAGAAGAAAGCCAGAGTTACCTTTTCAAGTGATGAGGCCAGCGAGGACGGTATGACTGCCCTCCTGACAGCCTTGGGGGTCTCAGTGGGGCTTGCCTGAGTGTAATCATTCCTCCTGGTAGTGCCACCCCGCTGTGCAGCCTGGCTGGCTTCTGCGGTGTGCTTTGCAGCTCTGGTTATGTTTTAAGATTGTTTTGCGCCATCTTGGTGACTCAGTTTTTGTTCCCATGATTCTCTGAATAGAACTTTCAGCAGAGATGACAGAAGAGGAGACACCCAAGAGAACCACCCCCATCCGCAGAGCATCTGCCCGGAGACAGAGGTCCTAGGAGTTGCCTTCACCTATTCCCATCCCTGCCGTGCAGGGTATCTTGTTGGATGCCTTTGAATTCAGTTCCTCCCTTGTAAAAATGTTTGTTGCCTCTTTGTTTTTAACATCTAAATGATCTTTGCATTCAGTGTCTTTCTCTGAGAGCCCATCTAATGGCTGCTTTCACTTCCCAAGAGATACTTAACCAATCGTCATGTTTTTTAAGAATAAATGTTTTTATATACGTTTAAGTATTTTGTCCTCTGCTGGTCTCTGTTTCATCTTTCACCTTCGCCCAGGTTCAGGCAGCAGATTACCAGTCCAGAGAGAAGATAAGGAAGCCCAGGTACCCTCAGGCTGTCTCTGGATCTTCATGATCGGCATTGCATTGCTTCATCTTGCACAACTAGTGAGAGATTCCACTGTAGAGAATTACATGGTCTAGGTTCGTATAAGCACCTCTCAGTACCCAAGACAACATTTGACAATACCCAGAGACCTATTCCTGTCATGGCCTTGTGGGACATGGAATAAGCACTCTTTCAACAAAAGCCTTGGGAGGAGGGTGTTGACTAACATCCTTCATGCACAGGACACCCCAACACAGCGTGCCAGCAGTGCCAACTTGAAAAATGCTCTAGACCTAAGGATTGTTTCCTCCATGTGCTCCAACCCAGGAGAGATCATGAGCTGTGCCCCCTCCCCGCAGCTCTGTGGGTGGCAAGGTCTACCTCCCCTGTCCTTCCTTCCTTCTCACTATAAAGGGTCTGCAGGAGGTCCAGCCCCTCCCCTTGGCTGCAAACCCTGCTGTGTGCTGCCCACCCTCCCCAACTCCTTCATCTGCTGAGTCACTTGGAACAGGAAGCACACTGATGTTTCTGCTGCCATGACAACAGCACATTGCCTCTGAAACGGTCCCCTACCTCTTATGTGTGTGGTGGGGGAACAGTACTGGCAGATGATAGGCATGAGGAAAAAGGGGAGATGGCTCCTTGGAAACATGCTTTAGGTTAGGGCAGGACTGTGGAGGGGCTCCTGAGACCTGGGGGAATAGGGTCAAAGCCGCTTGTGGAGCCTCTGTTGGAAGAAAGGCAGAAAAAGGACGGGGCTGAAGATGCCTCTGCTCCCAGCACAGCGCTATGACCACGCTCCCACTCTCCATCGCCCCACCCCCACCCCGTTCTCTAGGCCTGGTCTCTGCTCATGGAAAGCCTGGGCATGGCCCACACAGTTGTCAGTCCTACAGCCTTGGCTCTGAGACCCCAAGGAAGTAGGGCAATCCCAGAAGGGCAAGGAGCCAGGACTAGGACTGTTATTTGGGGTGCAGTCAGCATGCTCCCTGCCTTTTAAGCAAAGGTTATCACCAGGCCAGCTAAACTTAGCAACTAGGCTCTTCAGCTAGAAGAGCAGGGGGCTGGCTGGTCTCATGTTGCACTGGCCTAGTAAAGAGGCCCCAGGATCCCCCTGTCCCGCACCTGTTGATGCGCTCCCAAGCCCTTCCAAGCGCTCAGAACCCGCCCTTTCCACCCTCCCTACCCTTCAGATGAGTGAGGAACCCCGGGCTGGGGGCCTGCCTGCCTGTTCTGGCTCAGGGCATAATACCTCCCCTTCTACTTTCCCCCGTCTCTGACCTCACCCGGCGTCCACGAGGGCAGCCAAGGAAGGAGAGAGAGTCCCTGGCTGCAGGGCTAGCAGGCACGTCCCAGGACGGGGAGGGACTTCCGTCCTCACGTCCAGCACTCCACCCTGGGGCTGCAGTGGGTGAAAGGGGCAGTGTCTCAGCCTGGGCGGCAGGTTCCGAGGAAGGACACTGGAAGGCCTCTTAACCTCCTCCAACCCAACCCACAACCAGGGTACTGTCCTCATCCCGGAGCCCCAACCTAGACCTTAGTTGGGGAACACAGAGGCGTATTTGTGAGTCTCAATGATCAGGTCTCCAGGCTGCAGGGCATCCCGACCTATGGCGTAGGGACCGCCCCTTCAGGCCTCTTCCCTTGCTCTCTCACAATTCAGTACACAAGCCTGGCCTCAGGCCCAAGAAATGGAAGCCAGGAGGTGGAGGGGAGGTGGAGTGGGGGTGGGACCGCAAATGCGAAGGGCCCCCGCAGGAGGCAAAGTGGCCCCTCCCGGGCCTTTTCTTCAGCTTTGCTGCTTTAGTCTGTGTCACTACCGAAAAACAATGAGAAGATCCTCAACTTTTCAGCACCCTTTTCAAAAAGGGGAGAGGGTCGATGGTGCAGCTGTGGGCAGACCCACACTTCTGCTCTGTTTCCCCCGTTCCTGCAGCTCCCAAGGTCCTCCCACTTTTTTCCAGCGACAACTTTCAGGTCTCTGGGTCCTGGATGTCCTGGGTGCACACTCCACGTCCTTAAGTCCATAGTCTATATTCCCTCGGTCTTATCCTGGGACCCATCACCAGGTCACCTCCCCAGCGAGGCAATCTCAGTTCCCCTCCCCCTCTCAGCCCCGAGCCCACACGTTTGGTGCGTGCACATTTCAAAAACGAGGCGGGTCCAAAGAGAGGGGGTTGGGAGGAAACGAGAGAGGCCCAGCTACTCGCGGCTTTACGGGTGCACGTACCTCAGGCCTCAGCGCCCTTGTGCTGGGACTGGTTGAGCGGGGCGGGAGGCGGGGCGCGCGTCATCATCTCCCCCCGCCCCCACTGCTCCTCTCTATAAATACTGACTGCAGCCCTCCCCGGTGCTCTCTGCTCCTCCCTGTTCTAGAGACAGCCGCTTCTTTTCGTGCAGTGCCAGGTGAAAACCGCGGAGTGGGCCACAAAAGGCCTGGGACGGTCGGAAACCGGGAAGGGGGTGCGCGCTGTCCGGGTCTGGGAGCGCAGGTGCGAGCTCCGCTGTCCGAGCCGGAGCTCCGCATTGCAGGGGCTGGAGGAAGACGTGATGGGGCGAGCGGCGGGAATGGTGGCGGGTGGGGGAAGGTCGCCTGGTGCACCAGGCCACGCTGATCTCACTTTCTTCTCCCGCAGCCTCGTTCCAGAGACACGATGGTGAAGGTCGGAGTGAACGGGTGAGTTCGGGGCTGGGCTAGGGTGGGGCTCCGGACCCCACTCCGTGGCGTACGCAGTTCTACCTGACCCGGGGACTTTGCAGTAGTGTGGGGAGGTGGAAAGGTGGCCTTAGCACCCAAGGAGACCTCAAGGTCAGCGATCTGACCGGACGAAGGCTCCGGCTCCGCCCTCGCGGGGGCTGAGCAGCCCAGAGTCCTCACTAGGAGGACCACCCCACCCCCCACGCGCACGCCTGCTCAGGATCCATCCCCTAATCCCCTGGCTGGGGCTTCTTTCTTTACTTTCGCGCCCTGAGTAGTCACGTGTCTGAGGGGAGCCCCTCCCCCCCATCACCCCCTTCCTCCCGTTCGGTAGCACGGGGATGTGAGGTTCGCCCTTCTTGGCGCATCATCTCCCAAGGGCTTGGCTTCCCTTAGGGTAACTGGCCGCCGCCATGTTGCAATCGGGAAGGAAATGAATGAACCACCGTTAGGAAACCATCCTCGGGCCTTCCTCCCTTCTAGCTTATGACTAACCTTCCCACTCCCTCTTGCCGGGTGGAGTCACCTCTATCCTGTAAGCCAGGTGATGCAAGGCTTCCGTGCTCTCGGGAGAGCTCTGCCTCCCAAGCCGACTCATCTTATTAGCCTCCAAGTAGCCTGATTCTCCTCGGGCATAGGATGCATTTTCTAGATTGTTCTCTGAGAATCTAAGCAGACTTAGGTCCGCTTGTCCTTATCCCAGCTCCAAAGGTGTGGTAGCGATGGCGTAGTGCGGGGGGGGGGGGGGGGGGAGGCGGTGGCTGAGTCATGGTGGTTCCGAAGAGAAAATTTCCACCAGAAAAAGGCTCCAGAGCTGGCAGCCCCTTTCCCCCCATAACCTCGACTTCCCAAACCCTATAGGCCAGACTGTAAAGGTCACTAAGCGGATTGGGTGTCTCTGAGCCTGGGGATCCTGTCCTTCTCCCTATTCCATCCTCCAGAAACCAGATCTCCCCACTCCACCCTAATCGGAGGTTAAATTTAGCCGGCTGACCTTTCTGTGTCTGGGGTCTGGGCTCTTCCACCCTGTTGGCCCCTACACACATCTGTTGCTCCTGCTTCTGATTTTTAGCTAGCAAAGACAGGTGCTGGGATTAGGGGTTGGAAAGCCCAGTGGTTTTCTCGGTCTCTTTCCCTTTAGGAGGAGGGACTTGGGGGAAGCAGGTGGGCTGACCCTGTGCTGTTCATTCTGACCTTTAACCTTGCCCTTTGAGCTTGATGATGCTGAGTGCACAAGTCCTTCCTGTCCAGGGGTGTAGCCTGAAGCCAGGCCAGGCTGGAACAAACTTCCCAGAGCCTGCTGGGTAGTGGGGGTGATGAATGCCATGTGCCAGGCTTGTACCCAGACTGGGGTGTAAGGAGGGGGGTGGGACAAGGCTTTGAGCCTGATTTCACCTCTTGGACAGGAAAGAAAGCTCCACTTTATGGCTGTGCTGTAAGAGCCCAACCGGCCCTCAGCTGCTCACGGAAGATAAAATTAGGCCTCGTGGGGCTTTATTAAAGGAAATTCTAAACAAAACTTGAATTTCCTGCTTCTTATATTCCAATACTGTACTGAACCTCCATAGAAAGAGCCGTGCCTTTGTTCTTAGAGCCGCACAGTAGGCATCCGTTGACCCAGCGCTGGCTGGCGACCCCTGACACTCCCCTTGTTTTCTTGCCTCAGATTTGGTCGTATTGGACGCCTAGTTACCAGGGCTGCCTTCACTTCTGGCAAAGTGGACGTTGTTGCCATCAATGACCCTTTCATCGACCTCAACTACATGGTGGGTGCTGCTCCTGCAGGTAACGGGGGAGGGGGGAACCGTCTGCTGAACCAGTCCCTGATGCCCATGCTTGTTTCCCCAGGTCTACATGTTCCAGTATGACTCCACCCATGGCAAGTTCAAAGGCACAGTTAAGGCTGAGAATGGGAAGCTTGTCATCAACGGGAAGGCCATCACCATCTTCCAAGAGCGAGATCCCGCCAACATCAAATGGGGGGATGCCGGTGCCGAGTATGTTGTGGAGTCTACTGGTGTCTTCACCACCATGGAGAAGGCTGGGGTAGGTGCCTACTAGGCTAGAGATGAGGGGAACCCTGCAATTTGGTGCCTTAAAAATTAGGAAGAACCGGGTCTGAAACCAACTTTCTCTTACACAGGCCCACTTGAAGGGTGGGGCCAAGAGGGTCATCATCTCCGCCCCTTCTGCCGATGCCCCCATGTTTGTGATGGGTGTGAACCATGACAAGTATGACAATTCCCTCAAGATTGTCAGCAACGCTTCCTGCACCACCAACTGCTTAGCCCCCTTGGCCAAGGTCATCCATGACAACTTTGGCATCGTGGAAGGACTCATGGTATATAGTTCATTTGTTTCACTCTCCAGGCAGTGGAGCCTTCTATGGGTGCCCTGCAAGACCTCACTTACTCCATGTTTTCCAGACAACAGTCCATGCCATCACGGCCACCCAGAAGACTGTGGATGGCCCCTCTGGGAAGCTGTGGCGAGATGGCCGTGGTGCTGCCCAGAACATCATCCCTGCGTCCACTGGCGCTGCCAAGGCTGTGGGCAAAGTCATCCCAGAGCTGAACGGGAAGCTCACGGGCATGGCCTTCCGCGTTCCTACCCCCAATGTGTCCGTCGTGGATCTGACATGCCGCCTGGAGAAAGCTGTATGTCTGCCGTGGGCCGGGGGTTGTCGCTGACTGTAGCGGTGGGGTTGGGGCTTGTAGTCACCTTGATTTTTGCCCTCAACAGGCCAAGTATGATGACATCAAGAAGGTGGTGAAGCAGGCATCCGAGGGCCCACTAAAGGGCATCCTGGGCTACACTGAGGACCAGGTCGTCTCCTGTGACTTTAACAGTGACTCCCACTCTTCCACCTTCGATGCTGGGGCTGGCATTGCTCTCAATGACAACTTTGTAAAGCTCATTTCCTGGTATGTGGGGATCAGAAACTGGGCAAAGCAATGGCACCCCTGGTAGCCAGCCCAGAGAGTAACTCTTAACTGACTGTCCTCCCAATGTGCTCCAGGTACGACAATGAATTCGGCTACAGCAACAGAGTGGTGGACCTCATGGCCTACATGGCCTCCAAGGAGTAAGAAGCCCGCCCTGGACCACCCATCCCAGCAAGGACAGAGCAAGAGAGAGGTCCTCGGCTGCTGAGCAGTCCCTGGCCTAACTAACCCTTAACACTGAGCATCTCCCTCACAGTTTCCATCCCAGACCCCCAGAATAGCAGGAGGGGGCTTAGGGAGCCCTACTCTCTTGAATACCATCAATAAAGTTCATTGCACCCCTCTTCCTTTGGTGTTCTAAATACAGGGTCGGGGGAGGGAAGCAATGTTGGGAAAGTTTCAGTCTTATTTGTGCATATGGCTGTCACTTGTCATAGCCAGCCCAGGTGGCCCTTCCTGAGGTGTCTGGCACAGTTATGGGTAGGGCTTGACAATGGAACCATAGGGTAGGGTCTGGCCTGAGTTTCAGGGCTGTGTGTGCCTTTTATCAGCAAAGGTCAGTTGTACCTGGCTCTCCAGACAGATTAGGCGAAATTGGAAGGGTGCCCAATACAGTAAGAATGTATCCGTCAGGGGAGCCTGACACAGCTGAGCTGGATATTCGCCAGGAGTCTCATGACGCCCCCTGGTGGGCACTTGAGGGTGCTTTGGTTCTAAGGCAGTGAGTGGCTTATATCTAGCACCTCGTTTCCTTTAATGAAGATCTCAACATCAGGCCTCTGGGACAATGGTGGCCCACACCTTTAATCCCAACAATCCCAGCACTGGAGTGGCGGAGGCAGGAGAATCTCTGAGTTCAAGGGCATCCTGTGCTGTTAGCAAAAACCTTGTCTCAAAAAATCAAAGTGCTTAAAACAGCAACACGAAGTGCTCAATAAATATCCTTCATTAGATGAAGATTCCACGGCCTCTCCCGAGACATCCTGACTGTCCCCTGCTTTCCAAGGTCAAGAACGTCTTGATCTGTGGGTTTTGTGAGACCCTCCCTCAGCTGATCCCTAGAGAGAAGGTGTGTGCGCAGGCCAGGCCGGGCTTCACCTTCGCCTCTGAGCAGAGTCTGCCTCCTGGACCCCCTCTCAGCTCAGGCACTTCCCAAGGCCAGGTGCCCTGCCTCCCTCTGAGGCCTTACTGGTAAAGTAGAGCCTCCTCCAGATGTACAGGATGCACGAGCCCTCAGCAACTCCCAGATGAACCTGCTTCACGAAAGTGCCTGGGCCAGTTAGCACCAGTACCAAAGTCCAAGATGCCCCAGGAGAACAGGCAGGTCCCAGAATCGCATTCCTTACAAAATGGGGAAGGGAGGATCACAAGTGGTCTGGCAGCATTTCAAAGATGGACAAGTAGACAGCCACAAGTGAAGGCAGCAGTGTCCCCACTGAGGAGAGCTGTCCAGGAAGGGTGGGGTCAAGCCTAGCTCCAGACACCCCGGGAACCCTGGGGAGGAGACAGCTCAGGGCCAGGCTTCATGCAGCAGCACAAAACAGTCCTCTGCACACCCCACCCCTGCCTCAGTGAGCTCTGGGGAGTCAGGCAGTGACCCCTATCTCATGGAGCTATCAGATGAGACATCGCGATCGGAGTCCTCAGTTTCGCTTGGCGGTGGCGGCGGGTCGCTAATCGGGACCGCAGTGAAAGCAGGAGACTTTCTAGAAAAAAACAGCAGATGTCACCTTGGAGCATGCAGGAAGCCTAAGGAGGCTTGCACGCTCTCCGGCTCATGGCCTTATCATTTGGGAGGCAGCAGCTGGATGCCAGGCAGGGAAGCAGGGAAGCGGGGTAAGAAGACTGGTCCCTATTCAGCTTGATGGGGAACAACTCCCCTCTTAGAGGCTCTGAGAGACTTGGAGATCAGAAAAGTCTCAGAACACAGCCCGGAGCCCATACTTACTGACACTAGTGCCCAGCCTCTTGTAATGGGGGGGGGGGGGGGGGACACACACAGATATCTCACTTTTGCCAAGGCTGAACCCAAACTCCTGGGTGCAAGCAATTCTTTTGCCTCCAAAGTAGCTGGGGTGACAAGCAAAGGCCACTGAACCCAGTAAGCACACACACTGTGCCATGCTTAGTGGAATTCGAGGGAGTGGGCTGGGGTTTTTGATTTCTCTGAGACAGGGTCTCAGTATCCATCCCTTGCTGGCCTGGAACTCTATATAGAGGGGAGACTGGCCTAGTACTTGTGGCAATCCACCTGCCTGGGACACCTATGCACTACCACACCTGCCTGACTGTGGTTCCGTAGGGTAAGCCTGATCGTTACTGTTGCTTTTTGTTTCCTTTTGTTTGAGACAAGGTTTTGCTACTGTGGTCCAGGTCAGCCTCTTGACAATCTTTCTGCCTCAACCTTCCAAGACTGGGACTGCAGACGTGGGCCACCATGTCTGAGTTACAGATTTATTTTTCTTTTCTTTTTATTGAGCTCTACATTTTTCTCTGCTCCCCTTCAACCCTCCCCCAAGGTCCCCATGCTCCCAATATACTCAGGAGATCTTGCCTTTTTCTACTTCCCATGTAGATTAGATCTTTGTAAGAAGTCTCTCTTAGTGTCCTCATTGTTGTCTAAATTCTCTGGGATTGTGGTTTGTAGGCTGGTTTTTCTTTGCTTTATGTTTAAAAACCACCTATGAGTGAGTACATGTGATAATTGATGGAGGGAGATTTATTTTTTATAGAATTTATTTTTGTGTTCATTGGTGTTGGCCTACATGAATGTCTGTGTGAAGGTGTCAGAAGTCCTGCCTGGAACTGGAGTTACTGACAGCTGTGAGTGTCATGTGGATGTTGGGAACTGAACCCAAGTCCTCTGAAAGAGGAGTCAGTGCTCTTAACCAGTGACCCCTCTCCAGCTTCCATATTTTTTTAAGTCTCTCTCTCTCTCTCTCTCTCTCTCTCTCTCTCTCTCTCTCTCTCTGTGTGTGTGTGTGTGTGTGTGCATGCACAAGGCCTCAGACAGGCTACATAAGTACTCTACAACTGAGCTATATCTCCCAAACCCAAATTTACTTGTACATAAGGTCAAGTACACAAATCATGATTTTGGCTTTGCAGAAAAACCTGCCTCTGTATCTCTTCCTTCCTGGCCAGGTTTTGGCTCTCAGACACTCAGAGTTGGGGCACTGGTAGGCTTCATCTGACCACCAGAGCAGGGAGAGGAAGCTATCAATCCGGGCCACGCCTACAGGTGACCCAGTCACTGCCCACAGGTCATCAGGGCAGCTCCTTACCGGTCCCCCGACTGTGTGATGAGCCGGCGGCAGGTCTCCATCTGAACATCCAGGCCCCGCTTCATGCTGCACATCTCCATGTACTCATGCAGGTGGCGGTTCATGTCATTTTTGGCTGTGGCCAGCTCCAGCTGCAGTCAAGTAGGGCAGGGCGGGATGAGGAGGTTAGCGAGCCCAGGGCAGACGGGATTAGAGCACCAGCTGGGCCCCTGGATGGAGCAGTCACACAGGTGGCAGAAAGCATCCAGTACACCACAACTGCCTGTCTTCCCACCTGCGGGGTGGGGCAGCTACTGGCAATCTAACTCCAGACCTTCACTCTGGCTAGGCGAAGGCACAGGCACGCGGGACGGGTGCTCCACGCTCACCCCTTTCCCGGGGATCTCTACTCTCTCTCCCACTCCCAGAGTCAGATGCCTCAGTTCTTTCTAAGGGAGCAATAAGAACATAGCACAGTGAGCATGTCCATAGCTCCACCCTCGGCAGCCAAGGCAGGAGGACCTTGATTTCAAGGACAGTTTCATGTAAACCTAAGACTAAATAGTAAAACCTGGTCTCAAAAAGGGGAAAGAAGCTGAGCATGGTGGTGGAGCATGCCTTTAAGCCCAGCACTAGGGAGGCAGAGGCAGGCAGATCTCTGCAAGTGTGAGGTCAGCCTGGTCTACAGAGCTAGTTTCAGGACAGCCTTAGCTGTTACACAGAGAAACCCTGTCTTGAAAAACCAAAACAAACAAACAAACTAAAACCAAAGAAAGAAAATACTGGGGATGGCGGGGACACGGGACAGGAATAGCCAGACGCTCAGTGGATAAGGCACCTGCTGCACAGGCCTGGCAATCTGAATTTGATACCAGGGACCCATAGGGTAGAAGGACAGAACGAAGGCCATATTGCTCTCTGACCTCCACACATGCACCATGGCATGTGGACATGGACATATAATAAATTTAATTTTTAAAAAAGCATTTATAGGTGTGGAGAGGCTTGCAGAGTAGCTCAGTTGGCAGTGTGCTTGCCTTTCACGCAACAAAACCAAAGGTTTGGTCCCCAGCACATTAAACTGGACCTGGTGACATGTGTCTGCAATCCCAGCTAGGGAGGTGGAGGCAGGAGGATCAGAAGTTGAGGATCAGCCTGGTCTATAGCAAGTTTGAGGCCAGCTTGAACCACAGGAGAGGCTGTCTCAAAAAACAAAAGAGTCAGGAGATGTACCTCTGGAGAGGAGTTGCCTCCGTTAGCGCTAATTCACTGTGGAGTGGCCCAGAGTCACCGCAGTGGAGCAAGGCTAGCTTGTGTTGAGAGAGTTCAGTCCATTTTGTTTCTCACTCATAACCCACTCCCCCACAACAGGAGAGACATCCACACTGAGTGGTTACAAGATCTATCTTGATTTCAGAAGTTTCGCGTGGAAGAAATGGGATACCTGCACCAAGAAAAATCTTCCTCCCAGAGCTGCCTCAGCAGCCAATGTTGGAGGCAGAGGAAAAGTGGGCTGAGGAGGAAAAGAATCTAGGCCAGAGACAAATCTGCTGCCTCTCTTTGTTTTGTGTGCAAAGGCCAGGGGCCAGAAGGGTAGGCCCGAACACCATGGGGTGATTTGCTTGGCTGCCTGGGAGCCAAAGGAAGGCATGCGAATAAGGAGTGGGGAAGCCACCCGCAACAAATGCAAACGGGCCAGAGGGTGGGAATGGGCAGAAAGAAGGAAACGAGGCACAGGAGCAGACAAAGGGGCAGCCAGGACACTGGCATTCTGGGTCATCTAGTGGACAGCTGGCTTGAAAGGCGTGCTTGTTCCCACAGGAGTCTGTGTACCAGTGAGGAAAATACGATACTCCAGGTCAGAGGTCAGCTGCCCTGTACACACGCGTGCATGCACGCACGTTCTCTCTCTCCCTCCTTCCCCAGGAAGACTGCAGGGGACAAGGCTAGAACCCATTCTTCTAGGCAACGGAAGTGAAACACAAATGGCCTCTCAACACCCAGGCAGCACTACCAACAACGGCCTCTGTGAGTCCACACTTCACCCTAATTTAAACACTGAAGGGGGAGATGCATATTACAGAGGACGTCTTCAACAGGTCACACACACACGCACACACACATACGCGCGCACACACATGCACACACATACGCACACATACACACACACACATACGCGCGCACACACACGCACACACATACGCACACGCACACACATACGCACACATACACACACACACGCACACACACATATGCGCGCACACACATACACACACACGCGCACACACACGCACACACATACACACACACGCACACACACATGCACATACGCACACACACGCACACACATACGCACACATACACACACACGCACACACACATACGCACGCACGCACACACCCCGCAAGTCCAGACTCAGCGTGGGAGATCAGAGCAGTGGAGGTAGATGGGAGAGATGGGAGGAGCCAGGGCCATGGGAAAAAACTCCAACCTATCATGAGTTTACCATCCAGTAACCGGGCTGCTCTTCCTCAGTAACAGGGATCAAGGGTCACAAAGATAAGCTACTACAGATACCCCAGGAGCAGCCCTGCCTCAAAGCCACCAAGTGAGCTTTCTTCACCTTTCTTCCAGGAGAGGACAGAAGTCCCACAGCTTAGAAACAGCTCCAGATCCATGTTTCCCCTTCAGATTTTTTTTTTCTAAGACAAGGATTATGTAGCCCAGGCTGGCCTCAGACTTGTTACGTAGCTGAGGATGATGCGTGTGGACCTCTGGTCACGCCCCTGCCTCCCAAATGCTTGGACTACAGGCTCGCACTACCACATCCGGTTCCATGTGGTGCTGGGATTAAACTCAGGGCTTCACACGGTTAGAGTCCCAGCCCAGGAGGCTCTTGTTTGTCTCACCAGGTCATGTTGACAACTAGGCATCTGTGGCCCAAGGGCAGCCCCAGTCACTGTGCTCAGAGCCCTACCTGGCTGAAGGCCTGGAATCCTGAAAAGGTTGGCATAAGTCAGGGAGGGAGGGCAGGGAAGGGGAAGGAGGAGGCAGGCAGTAGGAGGAGTATACAGGAGTAACCTGTCCCCACACAAACCTCAGCTAGGGGCAGAACACTGGCTGGGCCTCTGAAACTCAGAATTTCCCTGGGTTTGCTTAGAAGAGTACGACCATTTGACATGCGCTGGGACATGAGAACACAGGAAAGCACCTTCCAAAGTTCATTCTCAGAAGGCACCCTATAGGCATGGGAATGCCCCAGAGGACCTCCACGGAGGCTGGACGCACAAGTCTCCAGCCTCATTCATAGAGAAGCCCCACCCGAGGCTCCTCTGCCAGGGACCTCCTCTCTACAAACCTACCTCAGCAGGCCAGTCCAACCCCTACTCTATCACCATTTATAAAGGACTCCCCAAGGCTCAAGACCAAAAGAGAGATTCCCCCAGGAGCTCAAGGCTGAGCAGGAGATCCTCTGAGCAGTACAGGACTTAGGGTGTTCCCAGTAAACAGTGCAGTGCGACACACCAGGCTGCCAGACCCTGCCCTATGTGCCACGTGTCTCACTCTATCTGATCGTCCTAATAACCCAGCCTGCAGGGAGAGACATCCATCTCCATCTGACAAATCAAGAGGCAGGCCCAAGCTCAGCATGGCAGCAAGCGTCTGTAACTCCTGCACTCAGCAGGCTGAGGCAGGAGAATTGCCTCCAGTTTGATGCCAGCTTGGCAGCACAGAAAGACCCTGTATGGGAACCTAGAAAGGTGGCTCAGTAGTGAAGAGTACTCCCTGCTCTTGCAGAGGACCTAAATTTGTTTGCCAGCGCCCATGCCAGGCTCGCGGTCACCTGTGAACTCCAGCTCCAGGGGGGCTGAGGCCTTCTTCTGACCTCCAGGGGTGCGCGCGCGGGCACACACACACACACACACACACACACACACAGTAATAAAAAAAGACACTTAGAAAAGAGGAGAGAGAGAACAAGTGTGTGCACGCATGCATGTGAGAGCCTGTATCAAAGAACTAAAGAGGAACAAGAGCTGGCTAGCTAGTACACCTCACCCAACAAAGCGCTTATCTGATGAGCCTGAGTGGATCCAAAGCCTGTATGAGAAAAGCTAGACAGTGCAATGCACACTGTAATCCTGCAGGAGGCACAGACAGGTGGAGTCTAGAGTCTAGAGCTCCCTAGCCAGCCTGCATAGCCTACTCGGGAAGTTCCAGACCAGCAAGAGACCATCTCAATTTTTTTTTTTGTCTTTTAAAGTGAACCGCACCTGGGCTGGAGAGACAACTTAAGAGGTTAAGAGCACTGGCTGCTCTTTCAGGGGTCCTAGTTCAGTTCCAGGCAACCACATGGTGGCTCCGAACCACCTATAGTGAGATCTGGCGCCCTCTTCTGGCCTGCGGCCATACATGCAGGCAGAACTGTATACATAATAAATAAATCTTAAACAAAAAAAGGACAATGGCACGGGGGGTTTTGATCCTACTTCATGTTCTGGCTTTGTGGGAGCCTGGCCAGTTTGGATGTTCACCTTCCTAGATATGGACGGAGGGGGGAGGACCTAGGACTTACCACAGGGCAGGGAATCCTGACTGCTCTTTGGACTGGAGAGGGAGGGGGAGAGAAGTGGGGGGAGGGGAAGAAGGGTGGGAGGTGGGGGAGGGAAATGGGAGGCTGGGAGGAGGCTGAAACTTTTTTTTCTTTTTCTCAATAAAATTAAAAAAAAAAAAAGCTAACCACACCTAAAGCACAACATTAGGTTTGTCTTCTGCTCTCCACACGCATATGTGTGCACATATGCATGCCCCCCCCACACACACATTGCAAAGCTGAAATGTTGTAGCTCACACCCATAATCCTAGCAAATGGGGATTTGGGGCAGAAGGACCAGGAGTTCGAGACCAACCTAGACTACAAGACAAGAACTTATAAATAAATACATAAATAATGAAACAGGTACTCAAAAAGAACAAGGGAGCCAGGAGTGGGGGTGCACACCTTTAATCCCAGACCCAGGAGGCAGAGGCAGGTGGATCACTGAGTTCAAGGTCAGCCTGGTCTGCAGAGGGAGTTCAAGGACAGCCAGAACAACAGAGAAACCCTATCACAGCCCGCCCCAAAATTAAGAAAGAATAAGGGGCTGGTGAGTGATGGCTCAGCAGGTAAAGGCATAAGCCACCAAGTCTGACAACCTAAACTTGATCCCTGAGACCCACACGGTAGAAGGAGAGAACTCACTTCCTCAAGATGTCTCCTCCTCTGACCTCCACACACACCCACTGGCAAACACATACATACATAAGTGTAAAGTGATCAGAAAAGAAGGAAGGAAAACAAAAGATCTGTTCCAAGTGGTGATGGAGCCAAGACTTGAACCCACATCTATCTGCCTCTAGAGCCTGAGGTCTCAAGGATCCAGCAGAACTACCACAACGGGGGGTTTGCACGCCGCCTGTCAGCAGTGGGGGGGTCCTGGTTGTGGGGTCTAGCAGGGAGGAGGCCAGCAGCACACCTACAGCCTGGCTTGTGAGTCCCAGGAACGGAGCCCCCACTGCCGACACCCTTACCTCTATCTGGTCAATGGTCTCTTGATATTCCTTCTCCCGGGTTTTGAACAGGGATTCAGTATCCTTAATCACCTTCTCCAGACTATCTTCCTGCTGCTGCTGGAGAAAGAGAAGTGGGGGGCAGCCAGCCAGGGAGGGACAGGAGCGGGGCATTCCATGGGCCAAGGAGGGAAGAGAGAAAGTCTGGTTAGAGGAAAAGAAGAGAGAGAAGGATACAGAGGGGAGTGGGGAGGAGCCAAGGGAAGAGGAAAGCCACACTGGGGACATGGCATGAGGCGAGGCAGGGAGGGAGACAATGTGGCAGGACACAGAGGCAGAGCCTGAGGGGCCTAAGGCCAGTAGGGGAGGAGGTTACCTCTCCCTGGGCCTCTGTGGCTGCCATGGCATAGCCTGAGAAATCCTCCCAAAGCAGCAAGGTCTCCTCAGTCTCCTCCCAAGTCAGGCTGTCACAGTCGTCCTCAAAATCATACTCCCTCCTAGAGACAGGGAACCTGGGTGTCAAGGGCACTGGGGCCTCTGAGCAGGCGGGCACAGGGCACTAGGGGAGCTCCGGCCTCGGGGGACTGGGGACATCTGGTAAGGGCAGCTGGGATGGACCTGCCGGCTGGCTTCAGGGGCCTGGGAGGGGCCTGGGGTATATGTGATGAGGGCAACTTCTGGTGTGGGCAGCTGGGATGGCCCTGCGGGACTCACAGCTGGCTGAGCATGCGCTGCATCTCCTCGTTGATGCTGAGGGCTGTGCTCTCCTCCTCGTCCCCCTCGGGCTGGCGGGGGGGCCCATCACTCTCCGACAGGGAGGTGTCCTCCTCCACAGCGGCCTTGCGCTCCCGCTTCCGCCCCCCCATGGACGGGACCTTGATGGGAGACAAGTGTAGAGACTACAGAGGCGAGGCCGGGTGCATGAGGAGAGGGTGGGCAGGGAGGCCGCAGGGTGGCGCAGGACCAGCAGGAAGGGAGGGGCAGACAGAGAAGACACACAGTTACATGACAGGAACAGAAACAGGACAGTCACCGAGACATGGACAGACACACACAGACAGGGCAGGGCTGCGGACAAAGAAGGAAGGAGAAACAGAACAGAGCAGTAAGCTAAGGAGAGAAATGGCTTGTGGTGACTACATTGTGTTTAATGGGGGCTGGAGAGATGGCTCAGCAGTTACGAGCACTGGATGCTCTTCCAGAGGACCCAGGTTCAATTCCCAGCAGCCACATGGCGGCTCAGAGCCCTCCATAACTCCAGTTCCAAGGGATCCACTGCCCTCTTCTGGCATCCTGGGGCACTAGGCACTCCCCTGGTGCACAGACATGGAGGGGAAAGACCCATACACATACAGTAAGTCTTTACAAAAAGAGAAGAGGGGTTTAATGACTAGAGGAATTGGGTTTGCTTAGTTTTGCAGTCTTTCTCATGAAAGGACTCCAGGGAAAACAGTCTGGGTTTCGAGGAAAATGCTGAGGTTTACTACGGAGAACTTGAATCACATCCAGATCCGAAGGGCCAGTGGGTGAAGGAAAGGGAAGAAAAACCAACGAGGAGGAGACTAAAAACGGGAGGAGCAGGGAAAGCAGAAAGAAGACATCTAGCTGAAGAGCCTAGTGGTTCAAAACTCAGGGTGGGGCGGCTTAGAGACGGGACCAGGACAATAAGCTTGCGTGAGTTCACACTAACCAGCTTCTTCTATGGAGAAAGCAAGAGAAAAGATGAGAGGAACAGAGAGGAGAGAAGCAGACAGAGGAGGGGGGAGGGGGAGATGGCGTTAGAGACGGCTTCCGAAATCTCTCTCCTGAGGCTGTCCCTTGCCCCCCAACCTAGTCCCCACCAAGGGCCCCAGGGGCCAAGATGTGTCCCAGCGGTGAAGGGTAGCAGGGCCTGAGATTCAGGCCAGCTTTGACAGAGGCCTCTCTGCCTGCCCAGCCCCTAGGAGCCGTGGCCTTCAGGCCTCTCACCTGGAACATCTGGATCATATCCTCACAGTTGCGCTGCTGAGCCAAGTCACATAGCTTGGCCGTGATGTCGATTCGGCGACAGATGTCCATGTCGACCTTCATGGCCTTTTCCTGGATCTTGGTGTCCAGCTCTGTCAGGTTCTGTACCAGGAACACAGGGAAGGAAGTGTGAGGAGATGCTCAGCACCCTCAGTCGGGACAGATAAGACCTCAGCAGGATCTTTGTCCTTTGTGGTACACCACTGCCCCCTCCTCCACAAAGTCCCTGACCCCAGGGACCCATCCTACACCGTGCATGTCCACAGGGCAGCTCATGATAATAGCCCCCAAGGCAGTACAGACATGGGAGGGCTAGGCTGAGGCTGGGATGAGTGGGGCCTCCCCTTGAACCAACCACGGTTTTCTCTCCTACAGAAACATAAGCTCCCACAGATGAAAGACACCACTGGGGTAAGAGTGACAGCCAGGTGGTATGCACACCTTTAATCCCAGTACAAAGACAAGCAGATCTCTGTGAGTTCGAGGCCAGCCTGGTCTATAGAGCGAGTTCCAGGACAGCCAGGGCTATTATACAGAGAAACCCTGTCTCAAACAAAACAAAACAAAAAAGAGTGGAGAAAGTACTGGCAGATGACACTCATCTGAGCACCAGCCAGGGCACTATCCTCATCAAGGTAACCCTGAACAGTCTTTCCTTCTGCTTTCCATTCCTCAGATGAGGCCAGAGAGGAGGTACAGGGAAGGAGGAGGAGGAGACTAAGGGCCACAGAACTAGCAAGTGGCAGAACTTGGAAAGGAGCCTAGGCAGCTGGCTCCAGATTTGTGCATATTCTTTTGTTCTGCTTTGATGCTGGCCTTGAACCCCTCATCCTTCTGACAGTTCTGTCTCCACCTCTCAAGTGCTAGGGTTACAGGTATGAGCCACCAGAGAACGCAGAGTTGTGCTTTCATTAACTCCTTAACAACCTCTTGTAACAGCGAGGCCACCCACCCTGCTTGTGACGCGACAACAGCTTCTTTGTCTGCTGGAAGAAGACAGTGACAAAGAGCAGAACCCCGAAAGGGTGGGAAAGTGAGGGGAGAAGGTTTGCACACGGGGACACCAACCACCGACGGGCAGGGGTGGCAGGCCACTGGAGGGTCCCTGAGAGCCGAGAGGCAAGTCTGCACTCACATTACTCATGAGGCCCTTGAAGACCACCAGCTCGGCTTTCAGCTGTTCCACCTTCATGGCCAGCTCCTCTTGGCAGGCATCAGCCTCTTGGGCCTCCTACAGCCAGGAGGAAACGGGGGGCACGATGTCAATGTGGGAAAGTATGGGAGGGGCAGGGCTCAGGCTCAGTGGTGCTGCGGGGAAGCAGGGGCTGTGGGGAAGCAGGGGCTGCGGGGTGGCCGCCCTCACCTCCTGGAGCTCGTTTACTCGCTCCTGCAGCTGGATCCGCACTGTGTACTCCTCTTCCCACCTGACAGACATGGGGAAGGGGGAGAGAACAGACCTGGAGTCCCTCCTGCCACTCCAGCTCCTGTCCCCCCACCCCAGGCCCAGATCAGACCCCAGTCTAGCTTCCTGGATGGGAATTCGTGGAGACGAGAATACATGGGCCACCAGCCAGTGGACAGCTGCAGCTGCTGGGTGGCTCCATACTTCCTGGCAAGGGCCGAGCTCACCAACTGTCTGGCCAGAACCTCCGGACCGTGTACCAGGAACTATATTTAAGAACAACTGCCACCACTTTGGCTCTCTGCAGTACCCATCCCCACGTGGGCCCAGTTCCACCAGCTGCCTGGCTGGACTCATCCCCCCTCCTCCTGCCCACACCAGTCTACCACGTCCCCCGCCTCAGCCCAGTCTCCCACCTTCAGTGGCACAGATCTGGTCTCCCGCTCCTGCCCGCACAGAACAGAGCTTGCTAGCCTGCTGCCCTGCCTCCTGGGTACCACTTAAACCTGTGAAGCATCTGCAGGACATAGGCGGGATCAAGAGATGCTCAGCAGTCTTGTGGGGGACAAAGTCTTTCCCCACCCAGCCCCTTGAAGTGAGCTACAAGAAGGTCACAGGGCTGGCGTGATGTCCTCCCAGCAGTGTGAAAGAAGTGGCTATCAGAAGCTAGGGGTGGCTAAGTAGTCACACCCAAGGGGCAGGGAACCAGAGGGTACGAAGGCCCCCATAAACAGCATAGCATCTCTCAAGCCTGGGTTCAAACCAGAGATCAACAGGAGCTTGGAAGACACACTTGCCATGGGGCAGAGTCTGCGGGGCATTACCCAGGGCTAAGTGCACGTTCCATCCTGTCATAGAGATGGAAGGTGGGGCGGGGTTTGGCTCTGTAGATTTAGAACCCGAGGTTGGCTGAGTCAGTGGCTGGGCTAAGCCTCAGTGCGTGAGCTCATCACTTCCGGCTGTTTTCCGCATAGAATCCTTCTGGCCTCAGAAAGGAGGGCAAGGGAGCTGAAGGAGAAGGCTCAGCATAAGATAGGGAAGGAAGCAGCGGAGGAGAGCCTCTGCAGTCTGTGGCCCTTCACTCCTCTCCCTGCCCCTCACCCTCTCAGGTTCCATGTCTCCGCTCTCACAGCCACAGCCGCACTGCAGTGTCCCTAATAATAACTCCGCAGCAGCTGCCCCTCCCAGCTGGCTGGGGGAAGAGGCGGCCAGCCCAGTACCACCCTGCTGACCATGCGGCTCAGCTCTTGGCCTCCCTCAGCTCCTATCCCCTTCCCCGCCAGCCCTCATCTGCTTCTGCTTTCGTCCTAGCGATGACAGACTGACAGCCTTATGCCATACACTTTCTTAGATGAGACCTTCATCTTTGCTGGGCCTCGGTTTCTTCATCTATAACATGCAGGTATGGGAAGGGGCCTCCCATGCGCCCAGAGTCTGTGCGTCTCTGGAGGAAGCCCACCGGACTGACAAGAAGTTAAAACCCTGGCCAAGACCCATCAGGGAGCGCCAGAAATCCTATTTAATAAGGAACTCAATAAATCCAAGTAAGATATGTGAGCGTTAGGCAGGATGCTGAGTAATGAGCTGGACCACACAGGAGAGATCTGAAAACGACTCATCTGGGCGCTCAGGAGGGTTCTCCTTGCTCTCCACCCAGACACAAATGCGTGCAGTCAGACGGCCATCCAACTCTTGCCTTTTTCTTTCTTTCTTTTTTTGCAAGGTTCCCATAACTTGGGTAGAATTTGGGCAATTTCTGTACATCCTGCATTTACCAGAGGCCTCACTTGCAAATAAACCCTATCTCTGCGTTAAAGAGAAAAAGTGAGGGTCTCCTCTTGTCTTGGAAAAACTGAACCCCAGGAAAAGGACACACAGGCAGAGGAGGTAAAAACAGGACTTGGGGTGAGGCTTCCCGCCTGCCCTGTCTAGAACTCGAGCTCCCCAAGCTGTCCAGGCTGAAGATGCGGAGCCCAGTGTTGCTATAATGAGCCCCGAAGGAAGGCAGGGGCTCGGGGCAGAAGGCTGTCGCATACCTCGCAAGTGTAGCCACGGGGCCCTGCTCGTCTAAGCAATGTGCTGCAGGGCGATGAGACAGTCAGTCCCCAAGGGATAACTCTGCTGCCCTGAACAGCTGCACCAAGGACAAACACCCTCTGTTTTAAAAGCTGCCCTGGGGAAGAGCAGCTGTTCCTAGGATGATGGCAGAACCCCAGAAATACCAGTGTTCCATTCTGGGTTAAGCTCTACGGGGGCAGAGGCAGGCACAGCCTAGTTCTGGGTGGTACTTAGATGCTGGGGCAACTAAAAGACCAAAGACGAGTCAAAGTCATGGACACCAGCGTGAGGGCTGAACTTCAGAGAGCCTGCTGCTGCGTGTAACTGGGTGGATGCTCACAGGTTACCAAGCCCTGAAGGCCATCCCAGACCCAGCACAGTGTTCTCAGGGCCTCCAGATGGTCCCCACACACAGCTGACCAAGAACAATCCCTGCCACGCTGGCCTGCACAAGTAGTGCAGGCTAACCCCAAAAGGGTCATATTAGATAAGAAACTGGATAAGCCTAGGTCTCTCTAGCTGCCATCTCCTTCCTCCTCAGTCACAGCCTGGTCAGTCTTCCAAGCACTCGCTCTGCCTGTGATCCCGTCCTATGGCCTGGTTACCAGCCACCTAGTGAATCCTCCTGGTATACAGTCAACATTCCAATGTGACATCCCTTCCTCCTAACTCTTGTACTAACCTGTTGGGGGCGGGGTTCCTCTCTGAAAGCCAAACCTTTACCCTCTGAATACACTGGGCTGGCCCTGAGACACCCTTATTACTGTAGGGTGTGCCCATGTTCCCAACTTTTTTTTATTCCATCCCCCTGCTGGCTCTCTGTTCCCGATTCTTCTGAGATGACCTCTCTACCAGCCCTATGACGACAGCCATCCCTTCTTGTCCTAGGACAGTCTGTGCCCCTTCCTTCTCTCTTTTCCTGTCTGTTTGGTCCAAGCAATCAATGCCTTTAGGCTCTGGAGCCCCTGAATCTCTCATACGGAACCAAGGTGAGACCTGGTTTTGCCTTATGGGAAAAGTCCTGGGCAGATGATCCCTTCCTCACTACCACCTTCCGGTTTCACTTAATCTACCTCCAAAATTAAAACTACATCCCTCGCCTCAAGTGTGGAGTTTATATTCTGAAACTGTCCCAAGGTCTGAGGCTGTCCAGACAAGACCCACAGAGGTGAAGCTCTCTCGGCTCTGTCTCCCTTTCAGACAACACAACACCCCACAGTTAGCAGAGTCATGCAAACACTGCAGCCTGCATGAGACAGGGAGACGTGCCAGAAGGAAGAAAAGTAGCAGATCCCAAGGTCCTTCTAGAATGCTTCTAGTCAGGAGTCTGATGGGAACTGTCTGTGGACTGCAGCCCCTGCATCCAATTCCTTCCAAGCTCCTCGCTCTCACAGCAGGAACTTCACTCTTGTTGCCATGACTGTTGGGCCCCCAGTTCCCGGGTCTGGGACACCCCCCCCCCCAACTCCCTGCCCTTTCGTGTCTATATGTGGCATGTCGTGAACCCTGTCCCTACTTTTCAGATCCCTACCTCCGCTTGTATTCGTCCCGCTCCCGCTTCACTTTGGCCAGCACGTTGTACAGTGCACGTATCTCAGGGGTGATGGTGTCGATCTGAACGCCCACCCCGTCGGGGTGTACCCACGACAGGCCAGGCCCTTGTACCAGCGTGGGTTCCAGTCCCGGTCCAAGCCGGCGGGCGTGTGAGAAGGACCAGATAGTGCCGGGCATGAAACGGGTCGACGAGGAGAAGGAGGTGGAGGTAGAGGTGGAGGTGGAGGATGATGTGTGGCAGGCCGCAGAGGATGCGAGGGGTCCGGCTGGCGAGCGGGCGGGGGAGCCCAGCAACCGCGCTGACGGGGGGCACACAGCAGCCGGCCGGGAGCTCAGGGGCAGCCCCAGGGGCCGGATCGGGCTGATGAAGCCGGTCTGTACCGCCTGGTCGCGGCGGGCCAGGCCCCGCCTGCCCTGCTTACCCTCCTCCAGAGCCTGCTGCAGCTGCTTCTCCAGCAGCCGGTTCCGGCGCTCTAGCTCGTGTACCTTGGCTAGGAAGCAGCGAAATCGGAGGTTCAGGGTCTTGAGTACATTGATGTTGGAGCCCAGGTCGTTGCGGAGAGCCATGGCTGCAGGGGGCGCCGGACCAGGCCCGGGAGGCGAATAGGCAGCGGGACCCGCCGAGGCAAGCGGAGGCGGGGGCAGGTCCCCTCCCCCGGCAAAGTGGTCACCTCCCAGGGGTTCCCCCAGCGGCCCGGGCAAGCCCTGCTGCTCCTGCTGTAGGAGAAAGAGATTAGGACCGAATAACGGATTCATGGCTGCGCCTACTGCTGGGAGATGGAGACCAGTGCAGCAGAGGGAGAGGATAAGAGCCAATAAGGCGCCTGCGGGATACAATCAGCCAATCAGACAGGCCGGTAGGAGGGCAGAGGTTATGAGGGCGGGACCAGCGGAAGCCAATGAAAGGCCCTCACTAGAGGTTTAGCCCTGGACCTTTCCGGGTCTGAGTCTGGGCGGGCGTGGAGTCAACACTAGAAGGAAGCCTGACTAGCACTTCCCTAGGGAGCTGGCCACAGCCTAAGATTTCAGCTCTGGTACCCAGTAGGCACCATCCGCGGAAGATCGTCTTCCCTACATCCCTGCTGTCTTCTCCCCAGTACCCTGGATATGATTTTTTGGCTTTTCCTCCGGGAAACCAAGAAATACAAGCAGCCTATCATTGACCTATATAGACCTATGATTCAAGCAATGCCCAGCTGTTTCCCTCTCAAGAGACTCCCAGGCCCACAAGCTGCCAAATACCCAGCATCTTAAAAAACACAACAGTGACTAGTGGAGAAAATATGTATATTAAATTTCATATGTATGCACGGTAGGGAGGCCATCACTGCAGAAGGATGTAAGAGTCTGCTTTGCAAGTCCATCTAAGACAACAGTGGCTGGCTGCTGCCCTTTGTCACAGATTTCCTCCTTTTTGCTGGTGGGGGCCTGGTGGAACTGTGGGGGGACCCAGTGGGGACTGAGGGTCCCTTGGGGGCACCATCCTCTTTTAGGGAAGCAGCTCTCTTGGCAGGCTGTCCTGGAAACTGTTGCTTTCCTTTTTCAATCGTTTTGGTTATCCCAAGGGATTGACTGCAGTCCTTACGCCTTGGGGCCATGGAATTCTCAGAGGGTGGCGGCACAGCAGGTGAGTCCACACGGTTGGGAGGGGCTTTGTGCTTTGAGAGAGCAGCTTCCTTGGAGGACTTTGGTTTAGATCCTCTTCGCTTTAGTTTCCTCTCCACTCCAGCTTTTCCACCAGGCTGGCCACTCTCCTGGGGCCTGGCAGACACTTGGGCTTTTGGGACAGAAGGGACAGTGGATTTTGAGCTTGGCCCTTTGGAGGTGCCATTCATCTTGTGGAAGGGCTTTCTGGAACGCTGCTGTTTCCCCAGCTGCTGCTTTGGTGCCCCACCAGCTCTCTTGGCTGGCTGACTACTGTTCTCAGACGTGGGGGGGACTTGATCCTTCAGCTCAGGCTCCGTAGGGGTAGCTGCTGCTGTGTTTCCTGAGGTAAAAATTAGAGATGGTTTGATCATTAAGAAATAGGGAGGTTGTTGGGTGGTGGTGGCGCATGCCTTTAATCCCAGCACTTGGGAAGCAGAGGCAGGTGGATCCCAGGGGTTCTTGTTGCAGACAGTTTAACTTAAAAAAAAGAAAGAAGGAAGGAAGGAAAGAGTGAAGTGAGGTGTGTGTGTGTGTATGGCAGGGGTTATGAAGTGCTATTCTTAGGAGCTCCTGGCAACTGATGGCTGCTGGGGATGGAGTCTGGCTCCAGGAGATGGCCTCATACCATCCATATATAGTCAACACTAAATGGATTCAGGGGAGAGAAGGTGGTGAGGAAAGAATTAAAGACTTGATCTAAAACACATTATACGAATAAAAAAATATTTTTTAAAATAGTCTTTTTAAAAGTAGGGGTGGGCCCAGCAGGTGCTTTTACCTGCTGGCAAGCCTACGTTGGGTCAGGAGCCACACAGTGGAAAACAGAGAACTCACAGAAATTATTCTGACCTCCACAGGTGTTCTGTTGCATGCACATGCCCACACATATATCCACACACAAAATAAATAAATAAATCATAAGTAAGTAAGGTGGAGAACAGAGGCCAATGGCTGAAGTGAGCTCCAGCTTCCCCACATGCTCAGGGGCACACCTCCTCCATACAGGCATCAACTGTGCACACCACACAGGCATCAACTGTGCACACCACACAGGCATCACACCGCACACCACACAGGCACCACACCGTGCACACCACACAGGCACCACACCGCACACCACACAGGCACCACACCGTGCACACCACACAGGCATCACACTGCACACCACAGGCATCACACTGTGCACACCACACACACGTACTAAGGAAAGATAGAAGAGCAAAGGAGATGATGGGAAAAGCAGAGCGAATTAATTACCTGCGTGGGGCTGGGGAACAGAATTGGAAAACTTCTTGAACTTGGCAATAAAAAAACCATCCATGTTGTGAGTGTGAGGGTAGAAGCGTCGGGTGGAACGCAGAGTCGGGTGAAAGCGCCTTTCTCGAAAGCGGGTAAAACCTTCCTGGCCAAAGTCCAGGCCAGTGGGCACCAGTCGCACATTCCTCTTTTTCAAGGCGTAGTCTACCACCCACTCATTCTCCTCCACCTGGATGAGGGGGAGACAAAGCAGGAGTGGAGTCGGATCCAGATCTGAGACGCTTGCTCTCAGAGGCAAACAGCCTTCCTTCCCACCCAATCTCGGTTAATCTGCCCCTGCAGAGATCTCACCGTAATGGAACAGGTACAGTAGACCAGGTAGCCCCCGGTCTTGGAGGCCGCATTGACAGAGTCAATAGCACTGAGCAGCAGTTCCTTCTGAAGGTGGGCACAGCGTAGGACATCCTTCTCATCCTGCCCAAGAGAACAGGAGTGGAGACTCCATATGACAGCCTCAGGGAGGGACCTGCTGCCTACGGGTGTTCTGACTTCAACACCCCAGCCCACAAGATCAGCCAAGGCTCCTCACCTTGTTCGTCTTCACTGCAGGGTCCTTGGAGATGACTCCTGTGCCACTGCAGGGAGCATCCAGCAGCACTCGGTCAAAGCCCCCCACCACCTGGGGAAAGGAAAGGTCAACCCGATGCTTGCTGCAAAGGGCACTACCAACTTCCCGAGGACAGCACTAAAACACAGCAACATTGCCAAGGGCAACGTAACCCAAAGCCTCAGGAAGACAAGAGGCCCACCTTGGGGAACTGGCGTCCGTCGTAGTGGCTGATGATGGTGTTGGTGACGCCCAAGCGATGCAGGTTGCCCACGACACTCTTGAGTCGCTCAGCACTGACATCATTGGCAAGGATCACTCCGGTGTTCTTCATCAGCTGAGCTGTGGGCAGGAGAGGGGAGCACTAGGGCTCAGCAGCAGCTCCCCTGCCTCACACTTGCTACCTACCATCCAGCACAGAGCCTGCAGGCCAACTCCCCTCTGCTTATCCAGCCTGTCCGGTGGGGACCACACCCACCCACGGGGCTTCCACTTTTGCTGACCAGCTTTCTGGCCCTACATATAAAATTACTTTTATTTCTTTCCTTTTCTAAGTAAGGTTCTTCTATAGCCACGGCCTGCCTTGACCTTCTAGTGTTCTTGGAGTACAGGATTACAGACTTACAGTACCACACCCAGCTCAGAGTGCCAAGGGCTTCTACAGGCATTATGTTCACCTTTTAAAGCCAACCATGGTAAGAGACGATGTAACCAAAATTACTATCCAAGTCAGCCAAGGTCAGCTAAAGGGTTAAAAAACAGAGCTGAAACCGGAGCCTAAATCCCAGAAAACGCCATGAACCCTATATTCTTTCTTTCTTTTTAAAAAAATATTTGTTATATATACAATAGTCTATCTGTGTGTATGCCTGCAGGCCAGAAGAGGGCACCAGACCTTATTACAGAATGGTTGTGAGCCACCATGTGGTTGCTGGGAATTGAACTCAGGACCTTTGGAAGAACAGGCAATGCTTTTAACCACTGAGCCATCTCTCCAGCCCCTCCTATATTCTTTCTAAAGCGTAGTCAGATGACACCCACCCAGCCTGCCCTTTCCATACCTATGTAGCTGGTCTTCCCTCCAGGAGCACAACACATGTCTAAGATCCGCTCATGCTCCTGAGGCGCCAGGGCCATGACAGGTAACATGCTTGAGGCTCCCTGCAGCATATAGTGCCCGGCCAGATACTCGGGAGTAGCGCCTGTAAAAGAGGACCTCTGTGGAATGTGTTGGCACAGGGATGCAGAGCAAGGGCTACTGCCGGGGACACTTACCAATAGGCACCGAAGAGTCATAGACCACAAGTCCAGACTTTGACCACTTTCCCAAGGGATCCAGATTAACTCCACGATTGATTAGAGCCTGAAAAAAAGAACGAAGATGTCAAAACCATATATTCTACCCAAAACCAGTCAGGCATGAGAACCTGTCCACGCAGGTCCATGTCACTGCAACGCCAAGCACGCCCACTCAACAACCAGCAGACTCTCCTCAGACCATCCAGTGCCTTATAAAGACTGGACAGAGAAAGGGACGGCTGCTAGCTATTCTAGTCCTCGGCTTTCAAGTCCCTTTGTTTTGAGACAGGGTATTGCAATGTAGCCTGAGCTATCCTGCCTCAGCTTCGCAAGTGCTGGCATTACAGGTGTAAACTACCAGATCTAGCCACACAGCCCAGTTGGGGATTGCTGTGGAATAATTCTTCTGTACACTGTGAAAATTTGTTGCTGTGATTGGTTTAATAAAGCAGCTGACCAGCCAAGAGCTGAACAGGATAAAGTTAGGCAGGAAAGCCATTGAGAATGCTAGAAGAACGGCGGAGTCTGAGGAGGCTGAAGCAGGAGGAGGGAGAAGCAAGATGGACATGCTGTACTGGGAAAAGGCACCAAGCCACATGGCAAAGCATAGGTAAGAACTATGGGTTGGGGGGCTGAAGAGATGGCTCAGTGGTTAAGAGCATTGCCTGCTCTTCCAAAGGTCCTGAGTTCAATTCCCGGCAACCATATGGTGGCTCACAACCATCTGTAATGAGATCTGGTGCCCTCTTCTGGCCTGCAGATATGCACACAGACAGAATATTGTATACATAATAAATAAATAAATATTAAAAAAATAACTATGGGTTAATTTAAAAGTAAGAGTTAACTAGTAGGGCTGGAGAGATGGCTCAGAGGTTAAGAGCATTGCCTGCTCTTCCAAAGGTCCTGAGTTCAATTCCCAGCAACCACATGAGGTCTGGTGCCCTCTTCTGGCCTGCAGGCATACAGACAGAATATTGTATACATAATAAATAAAAGAGTTAACTAGTAATATTAAGCCTCCGTGTTTATTAGAGAGCTGCTGGCAAGACAGAAACTTCCGCTTACAGGGACTGTGGCTAGGACTTGTGACTGCTAAAGCAGAGGGCTCTAGCACAAGCCGCATCCCCAGCCCCTCTGCCCCACTCCCGTTTTTTTTTTTTTTGGTTTTTCGAGACAGGGTTTCTCTTTGGTTTTGGAGCCTGCCCTGGAACTAGCTCTTGTAGATCAGGCTGGTCTCGAACTCACAGAGATCCGCCTGCCTCTGCCTCCCGAGTGCTGGGATTAAATGCGTGCGCCACCCCACCTGGCTTCCCACTCCCATTTTTTAACTCCAGGTTTCTAACTCAGTCAAGTACATTCCAAATAAGCAGACTACTGTCTTCTGTTAAATAACAGCTACAGTATGCATCACTGGAGAGATGGCTCAGCAACCATGCTGTTAAAGAGGACCAGGATTCAATCCCAGCATCCACATGTGGCTCACACCAACATTCCTTTAATTCACATGGTGCACGTTCATAAATAAAGATAAATCTTCAAAACAAATAAACAGTATACAAGATAACACTGATTCTGGAAGACTAAAATTGTATGGCTGTGTTTTACTGGGGGCTTCTTGTGGCCTCCTGCATCCCTTATAAGGCAGCAGTTCATCCTGACGCAGATGTCTCAGCCCAGTCACAGGGAGCAGAGGTGGCAAAGACAAGGCCCTGCTCTACATGGCCTAGGCCCTTAGACCCGAGACAGAGAGCAGGTTTTCCTAGCCCACTTGATGGGGCCAGGTGAGCAAAAGCTGGTCCAGTCCCGAATTAAACGACACTGACTCCTCACCTGAGCAAGGTCTCTGCGACGAGTTTTCAAGGTGTTGGTCCGAAGGGTGACTGGCCGGGGCACCTCATTGGCTTCTAAGAACTCTATCAACTGCAATGGAGACAGTGTTTGGGGACTGGGTCAAGAGAGCCACGGGTAGAGTTGGGGGTGGGGTCCTAGATGCCTTCACACCCTACAAAGGTGAGAAAAGCAGAAGGAAGAGACTGGCAGGCGGGTACCTCAGACAGAGGGAAGATCTCCATGAGTTTGCCCAGCAGGAAGTCTCCATATGAATAGTAAGTGGCCAGATCCTTCTGAAGCTGATTCAGATACTCGGAACGAGACCGTCCTTCTTCCCGCTGAGCCCCAAAATTCCGAAGCACCTCCACTATATCCTGGATCCGCTTGTGAACTCCTTGCAGGTCTGGAGCCTGGGCATGTGGGCCCATTAAGGAAATGTTGCCTCACGTGGTAGGCCTAAGAAACCCTCTTCTGGTGCCTTCCTCCAACCCTCACTCTGCACTCCAAGGATATCCTGCTCCACTTTCCCAGCAGGGGGCAGCACAAAGGCTTCCTCATCCTCCACATTGATCTGCAAATCCCCCTCTGCTCTGCCAGCCTTTGGGGGACCGGACTCAGGGGGAACATCATCTTCCTCTTCATCCGTCTCCTCCTCACTCCACTGACCCCTAGAAACAAGCCGGGAACAGAGGTTCAAGCCAAAACAGATACCTTCCTTCCTCACCTCAAATCTCTTCCACCCAGCTGCTGCCAAACTCACCCAGCGGCAGCCTCCCGCGACTTCTGCTTCAGAGCGGCTCTTTCGATGGGCAGCAACTGCAAGGAGAGAAGGGCTAAGGCGAAGGCTCCCTTGTCATCCTGCCTCACTCGTCCTTCCCATAATCTAACACTCTCTCAGAAGCAAACAGAGAAGCTAAGAACACGAGTAAGCTCTGACAGAGAATCTATGTTACATGTATTTCCTCTCCAGTTTTCCATTCTTCTGAATAAACACATCCTAGTCATATAATCGCTGGTACCACAGAAAACAAACCTTTACCCTCATTATATACCACCTCCCTACCAATAAATATAAATAAATAAAAAGAAATCTTTTTTCTCTGACAGGATCTTACTATACATCCAGGCTGCTCTTGAACCCCTGGGTGACTGGCCTGTCCCATCTGGATGGGAAACTTCTTTTCCGTGCTGGGTTCAACTATCACGGCCTCACATGTCAGGTGAGTGCTTTTACTACTTCAGCCCTGCAACAACTGCTTCACTAAAAATGAGCATTCAATGGGGCTGGAGAGATGGCTCAATGGTTAAGAGAACGGGCTGCTCTTCTAGAGGTCCTGAGTTCAATTCCCAGCAACCACATGGTGGCTCCCAGCCATCTCATCACTGTCATGAGATCTAATGCCCTCTTTCTGGTGTGCAGATGTACATGCAGACAAGAACATACATACATAAAATAAGTAAATAAATCTTTTTTTAAAAAATATTATTTAGTATGTATACAATATTCTGTGTGTGTATGCCTGCAGGCCAGAAGAGGGCACCAAACCCCATTACAGATGGCTGTGAGCCACCATGTAGTTGCTGGGAATTGAACTCAGGACCTTTGGAAGAGCAGGCAATGCTCTTAACCTCTGAGTCATCTCTCCAGCCCATAGTAAATAAATCTTTAAAAAAAAAAAAAAAAGAGCACTCAAGCTGGGCAGTAGTGGCGCACACCTTTAATCTCAACACCTGGGAGGCAGAGGCAGGCAGATCTTTGAGTTCAAGGCCAGCATGGTCTACAGAGCCAGCTGAGGCTACCCAGAGAAACCCTGCCTCAAAAAACCAAAAGAACCTTCAAGGACAGCAGGATAGCACTCATCCCCAAATTAAATAAGTAAATAAAAAGTGAGTAAGTAAAGAGAGACAGCTTGGTGGAAGAACTCCTGGAAAGCTGTTCTCTGACAGCCACACGTGTGCTTTGGCGTGTGTAGACGTCTGCACTCACACACTCACAAGTAGATAAAATTTAAAAAATACTTAGGGTCAGCGGGCAAAAGCACTTGCTGCCAAGCCTGGCAAATTCAGTTCAGTCCCGGGGACCCAAATGGTGGAAGGAGAGAACAGACCCCAAATTATTCTCCAACCTCCACATTCACAGCATGTATGTGCATATACACACTAAATAAATGTCTAAAAAACTTCAAAATGTGTGCGTGTATTTACACTCAGCAGGATATCCAAGTATCTATCGTCTTACATCTTCATCTGCCAAGATCCCTCTCTTTAATCCCATCATTCAGAAAGCAGAGGCAGGTGGATCTCTGAGTTAAGGGGCCAGCCTGTACTACACAGTAAGACCCTATCTCAAACAAACAAAAAGATCTGAGAACACACAGAAGTGATTCTCACCTTTCCCTCTTCATCCTCCGAGCCAGAGTCCGCTCCATAGTCATCCACCATATCGGCATCACTGTCCTCAGAGCCCCAGAGGTCTCCCTGGTTTGCCACAGCCTCCTCCTCAGATTCTTCCTCCTCATCCCCATCACTGTTTTCAGCTGGTGCTGGGCGCTTCTTACCTCGAGCCTGAACTGCTCCTGAGAACAGTAAAGGGTTTGACACATCCTGAGCAGATGGCTGCCACACTCCCTGTCCCACACCTCTGGGGCCTGTCGTTATAGCCCTGAGAATGACCTCTGGGGGCTGGAGAGCACAAACTAACCTTGTCCCGGACCCAAGTTCAGTTCCCAGAACCCACATGTGACAATTCACCACGACCTGCATCTCCATCTCCAGTAGAATCAGCATCATGTGCACACACCCACACCCTCCCTCCCACCCACACACGTAATTAACAAATAATAGAAACAGAAATAGGACTGGAGGAAAGGCTCCGCGGTTAAGAGCAGCTGTTGCTCTCGCAAAGGACCCAGGTTTGGTTCCTAGCACTCACATGGTGGTCCACAACTACTGTAATTCTAGGGGGATCTGATACCTTCTTCTGACCGCCATGCGCATCAGGATACATGCGATACACACTTATACATGCAGGCAAAACACTCATGTACATAAGATAAATTGAGACAGTTTTTTTTTTTTTAAATAAGTAAGATAAAAAGCAATCTTAACCAGGCATGGCAAGACACACCTTTAATCCCAGTACTAGGGAGGCAGAGGCAGAGCATCTTTTTGAGTTCGAGGCCAGCCTGGTCTACAGAATGAGCCCAAGGACAGTCAAGGCTACAAAAGGAGATTCTGCCTCAAACAAACAAAAATAGATTTTATATTAAAAAAAAAAAAAAGCAAGCTTTTTGTTCTTCCTTCCATTCTAGAAATCCTAGCCTATCTAGGGTCCAGAATGTTCTTCACACAACAACTGATCCTGTTTTCACTGACCTTTCGATAGCGCTCCAGGCAATGTTTCGATTCTAGGAGACTTATTTGACTTAGAGACTTCAACAGACCTGAACCGCCTCTTGGCTGCCCTGTAGATACAGAAAGTGAAGACATGGGAACACGCCTCTAGGTTCTGCTACCTCCCACCTTAACAAGGAGACATGGCAACGCACAACTGGCCCTCTTCATCCATGTACCAAGCAGCTCCAATTTCTGCTAAGCCTGGGCATCCAACACTCACCTTTTCCGAGCACGACTAGACAGCCTCTTGAAATTCTCATCACCAGCTGTTAGAAAGGAGCAGATTAGGAGTTTAAGAGAAACACACAAAAAGGAAGCACAAATGTAACTAGGAAGAGGGCTGCTACACTAACTAAGGTGTTACAGAGAGAATTAGTGATGTGGCTCAGTGGTAGAGTGTGCCCTTGGCAGGTACAGGCCCCCCCAGCGACAGGAAAGACACAGGGCTACAAAGTATAGTCAGTGTGCAACACTCTGTAACACTTTCCTGGGAGTTAAGGGGAGATATGGAGGCGGGGCTGATGGGACAGCTTGGGCCAAGAATGGGAAAAGCCCAGGGTTCCATTCCATAGCCTCCAGTAAAGGGGGGGGGGGGGAGGAGGGAGGGTGTAGAGGCGATGAAGCAACCAAATCAAACCAAAAGGGACATTCTGATGACAGCAGAACCTCAAAACCTTTTCTCTGCCCTTTCCTTTATTCTCAGCTCATTCAGTTATCAACTACAGCAGAGTTTTGCTAATGTTATTTTATATATATATATACTCTACAAGAAATTGCAGCGCTTTCCATTGTGTGTAAGACACCCAACTACTCCTCAGCATCCATTTCCTAACGAAGCCTCTCTCCCAGAATGCGTCCATGGAGTTGAGGATCTCTTTCATGGGGCTGTGACTGGCCAATGCTTCAATAAACTACACCTTCCATTCAAAACCGGACACCAGCTCCCTACGCAGTCTTTTCTCCCAAGCAGTGTTTCACTACACAGCACTCAGACCCCTGCTTTTCATCCCTTCTTCCAGACAATTCATGACTGGCCTGTCCCGTTTCCAACTCCTGCTTGCTAAAACCAGGCTCGGCAAAACCTTTCTAAATTCTTCATGAGAGCCCCCTTTCTGGAAACGGAGAACGGAACCTCTCCTCGCACACCCGGGTACCCGTGCCCCAGTGGCATCTACCCTATCTTCCAACACGGATGACTTCTGTCCTAACAACTCACATCTACGCAGCAGGTGAAGGCGGACGCGCAAACGGGTCGAGGTTATGATACAAAATGGACCAGGGGCCAGGCGGGGTCAGGGAGCTACGACCCTCACCTGCAGGCAGGAACCTAACCAGTTCGGTCTCTGCACCCTTCTGTTTCCGGGCTTTTCGGCCAGGTCCACGCTTCTCCTTCTTCGTAGGGTCCAATTTACGCCCCATGGTGCTAAAGCAAGAAAAACGGGGGAGGGCAGCGTTGTGGATACTGAAAGGGGAACGCAGGCCACACGGCGATATTATCCGGGAAGGAGACCCGCCCGGCCCAGAGCCATGCTCGCGACCCCTGATGGGCCCCCTCAAGGCACTCCCACCAAACCCTGGCACCGCGCCCCTCTCGGTGCGCCCAGGTCGAAACTCTTTTCCGGGATACCGCACAAGCACCTGAAGCCTCCGCCTGGCTAACCTGGCTCCCGGAGACTAAGCGGCTCCAGCAAAGGCCCTCTCCACGTGCACTCGGGGAAGCGGTCCCAGACAGCGAGCCGACAAAGTGTACTGCGCACGCGCAAAGGTCCTCCGGGCAGCGCCCCGCCTTTTCCGGCAGGGGCGCCGGAACGGACCAAGTTTAGGAACACACGCGTCACCGGCTCCAGCGGTTCAGGGAGGGAAACGTGCGGCAGCCTGCTCCTATTCGCTCCGCCCTCCCGCCGACGTCGGCTTCCCTCCGAGGGTTCCAGTTTAGGACGCCCGAGGCCGCCAAGCTTCTATCTAGAACCGCAGCACGACCCCTTGCCCTGGCATCCTGCGGATTGTCTTAGATCTCAAGATCAGGAGGTTCCACGTCTCCGCACTCCTGCTCCCAGGTTTTGATTAGAACCGCTTTCCTTAAGGAAGCTAATCTTCCCCTCTTCATTTAGCCAGAAATACGTACTCGCCCTCCTCCAAAGCAGTACTAGATAAGAGTAAAGAACTTTCCAGGCGGCTAAGCCTGACAACCAGAGTTCATTACTGGACACACTCATATTGTGGACGTCGGGAACTAACTTCTACAAATTGCCCTTTGACCTCTACGTGTACAGTAGTCCTCCCCACAATTGTATGTAATACAAAAAGAAAAGTTATGAACAATAAGTTGGGTGTGGTGGTGGACTCCTTTAACGTTAACCCAGCTCTCTGGAAACAGAATTTGAGGGCAGCCTCAAACACACCTCCTTAGTGCCCACTCAAGAGGCAGACAGGCAGTTCTTAGTTCAATGCCAGCCTGTACAAAAAAAAAAAAAAAAAAAGGCAGGTGGTGGCTCACATCCACTCGGCACTAGGGAGGGAGAGGCAGGTGGATCTCTGAGATCGAAGCTACAGAGAGAGTTCCAGGATAGGCCCAAAAGCTACAGAGAAACCCTGCCTCAAAAGACAAACACAAAATGTGCGTGCATATGTATGTATTACACATTCCCATATAGAATGCTTCCCTAGCACTTAGGTGGTCATTTTGGCCTTATTTCACAACTACCAGGCAGGTAACTATTGCATGGAGGACTCTGCGGGAATGCATTTGCTCCAGGTTAGAGGCTACAAAGGGACAGTGCAGCAGCCTCTTGTTCTCTATAATAGCAGCACCTGGCACCCACTCACCCACACTGAACCAGATCACTAAAATACAAGGAAACTTTTATTTTCAATTCTCATGAAGAAATTTGTTGTGGTTTTTTTATGCTTTTGGTTCTTTTCCTTTTTTTTCTTTTTTCTTTTTTTTTTCTCCAACTTTATTTTAGCCGCTCAGTGGCTGGAGCCGCTGGGTTCCTGGTATTAAAAAGATGCCAACAGAGGTAGCTGTGTCTCGCCCAGGGGCTCGGCCCACTCTGAATACCCCCCAAAAGGAGAAAACACAAAGTAAACCAACAAAATAATAAAACCAAAAAGAGGAAGAAATTCAGATCATTTTCTTCAAGCCTGGCAGAACCCACAACAGTTTGTAACAGGTGCGCGGTGGGGAGAAGCCAGGGTCCAGAAGGCAGCCAGCCTGCAGCTCCTTGCACATGGCGCCGCGCTATTGCTGCTTGTCTCTCCAGCAGGAAGGGCACCATTGCCCCTCACTCCCTCCCTGCCCCCAGTGCACAGGGCTGTTCCTTTACAACTCAGAAGATGGGCAGAAGGAAGGCGAGGATCTCTCCGGCTCCCCAGGGGGCAGCCGGGACAAGAGAAAGTGAGGAAGGTCACTGCTCAGTGGTGGAAGTGGGATCATCGCTGGGTCTTCACTGCTGTTGGGCTACCTAGAAGGATAAACAGCCAAGAGTCAGAACACAGAGCCGAGGTAGGAAAGCCAAGGACACAAGCAAAGAGCTGCAACTAAGAAACTGGTCCTACCTGCTGTGGGGGAGGTTCTGGTGCCCTGTTTGCCAGACGGCTGAGAATGTTCCGCTCTGACATCTGTAACCTCACAGCAACTGGGGGGATTCGGGCAATGGTAGCTGGGAGTCGAGTCACATCTGCTTTCATGTCACTCAACAATTCTTCCAGCTGTTTCAGGACTGCAGAGGGGAAATAAAAGGGAGGGGAGGCCGTGAGCTGTGGTCGTCAAGGGCACAGTTCTAAGCACTAGCTGCTCCCCAGCATACACCAGGATATGCTATTGCCTCTTGACACTCACTTAACCGGCCTGGCCCAGATCCCTACTCTTCATATTCTAGTTCCAGTTGGCTTTTGTGGCCCAAGCTAGGCCTGGAACTTGAGCTCAGGTGAGATTCCTGCCTTGTCTCCTAAGTACCTGGGGCTCTAAGCATAAGCCACCACAGTTGGCTGATTCTGATCTGTTTAGTGCATCCTTTCTATTCTCTCCATTTTTTTTTTTTTTAAAGGTTTGCCTCAAACTCACCGTGGCCAAGCCTGACCATGATTTCCTCACCCTCTTGCCTGTGCCTCTCTGTGCTGGATGACAGGTGAATGCCAACACAGGGCTTTATTTCTTACAGCTTTTCTTCTCAGCATCAGGGATCAAACAGCTAACGCCTATGATCTCCTCTTTTACACGCATGCTTTTCTACTTTCTGGATGTCTCCTACCACCTTTATGACACCCATCCGTTCATATTTTACCCTCCACCCCTCATAATGTTTTACTGTAATCAGAAACACAATACTGAAAGGGGTCTAGAATTTGAAGGGATCTAAAAATCAACTGAAGTCACCTCTAAAATATCCCAGGTGACACTATTATTCTCAAGAACCCGAATATACTAAGAGTTCAAAGAGCAAACTGTTATCCTTGATTGCCGCAAAAAAAAAAAAAAAAAAAAAAAAAAAAAAAGATCCTCAGTAAGAAATTATGGATGTTGGGGACGGAAGAGTAGAGAGGGAGGCTGAAGGAGCAGGAGGCAGGGGAGCCACTGGCGACCTTTGTGTAAGACTGCATTGGCTGGCTTATTTCCTGCCATCGACTCCTTGGAGAGGTGCTGGTGACTTTCTGCCAAACACTCCACCTCAGCAAAACGAGTGTTAAGGGCCATAGATGGGTGAGAGGGGTCTTCTGACATGTTCAGGTAAGCTGCTCTTCGAAGCTGCTCCTCGATCACCAAGGCTTGCTCCAAGAGCTGCACGGGAGGGAAAAGAAAGAGGTTGGACTAATTGCCACTTTCTCACTGACGGGCCTCTCAGGTGAACTTGCGGCTCCTCAGCACTACCCCTTCCCCACGTTGGATCACGGCACACCATCTCCTTCCCATTAGAGGCCCACACGTTTTACAATTCCTTATTCTTTAGAACCTCATAGAGAAGTAATAAAAACTCAACTTAGAAAAATAAAATAAAGTTGGGTGGTAGTGGTGCATGCATTCAAGAGGCAGAGGCACTTGGATCTCTGTGAGTTCAAGGCCAGCCTTGTCTACAGAGTGAGTTCCAGGACAACCAGGGCTATTAGAAAGAGAAACCCTATCATGAACAATCAAAAACCAAAAGAGAAAAAAATAAAACCATAGGTAATCCCCCTGCTAGAGAAAATGTTAGCTTTTTGAGAATTTTCTTCCAATATCTTCCTATGTATACATCTTTTACAGCAGTTAAGTCATATATTGATGACCATGCACATTTAAGTTATATACCAGGCACTTCCTTTGCTCCTCAAAACCATAGGATGACTAGTTTCACTTTCAATTTTTTGTTGTTCTTTGACAATGGGTGGTGGTGGCGGCACACACCTTTAATCCCAGCAATTGGGAAACAGAGGCAGATGGAGCTCTGTGAGTTCAAGGCTAGCCTAGTCTGCAGCAGAGCTAGTTAGAAGGCAGACAGGACTACAAAGAGAAACCCTGCCTAAAAAAAAAAGTTTGTTCTCTGACAGGGTTTCAGGTAGACTAGGGTAGCCTTAAACTCACTAGATAGCCTAGGATGACTGCACTCCTGATCCTCTTACCTCTACTCCCCAAATGCTAGGGTTACAGGAATGTGCACCATTTCTGGTTTGAGGGGACAAGAGGTCAATGAAACAGAATACTGCTGTGTTGCCCAGACTGGTCTTGAAATTGCAACCCTGGGGCTGAAGAGGGCTTGCTAGACAATCACAAGAGCTGGAGTTCAGATCTTAGCCCTAGGGTAATAAGCATGTGGCCTGAGCTCTCAGACAGGGAAGATCACTGGAACTTGCTGGCCCCAAGTTCAGGTAGAGACTGTCTCAAAGTAAGAGGGCAGTGTGAGAGAGCATCAGATGCCTGTGCTAGATGCTGGGACACTTGGAGGCACACAAATACATTACAAGTAAGTAAATCTTAAATTGCCTCTCAAATACCTGGGAGCAGATGGATGGGCCTGCAGGCAAAAACCAGCACCACCATTACCACACCTTCCAAAAATAGCTTTGTTTTTTGAGGCAGGGTCTCGTTCTGTAGCTCTGGGTAGCCCTAGAACTCACTTGCAAATCAGGCTGGCCTCAAACTGGCCACGATCCATTCTCCCAGGTGCTGGGATTAAGGAAAAAAATAGTTTTGTGGCACAGTAATCTATCCTATGCAGATAGGAACTGTACCAATCTGGTTATCTGGATCTCAGAAACAAACAGCAAAGTTTCATAAACCCAAGACTGGCCATGAATTCATGATGTAGCAGATGACAACCTTACATTGGCTAGCCTGGAACTCACAGAATTACACCTGCTTCTGCCTAAGAAATTTTTTTTGTTGTTGTTTTTTTTTTTTTTTTTTGAGATAGTGTTTCTCTGTAGCTTTGTGGCCTGTCCTGGAACTAGCTCTTGTAGACCAGGCTGGCCTCAAACTCACAGAGATCTGTCTACCTCTGCCTCCTGAGTGCTGGGGTTAAAGGCATGCGCCACCATCGCCTAGTGAATGTTAGTTCTTTTTTTTTTTTAAATATTTATTTTATTTATTATGTATACAATATTCTGTCTGTGTGTATGCCTGCAGGCCAGAAGAGGGCACCAAGCCTCACTACAGATGGTTGTGAGCCACCATGTGGTTGCCGGGAATTGAACTCAGGACCTTTGGAAGAGCAGGCAATGCTCTTAACCTCTGAGCCATCTCTCCAGCCCCTGAATGTTAGTTCTTAAATTACA